GGCGGGGCGGGCGGTAGTTGGGTAGGAAGAGCGGCTCCTGCAAATTTTGCGCAAATATGCGCAGTTAGCTTTTATGTTGCCCTGGTGTAAATTTAAATCCTACTTCATCTCACAAAAAATCAGAGTGGAACTAGATGGGACTACCTGTTGTTTCCTTACCTAAACTTTGCAGTTATATTCCAGAATCACTGTAGGAGAGCCTTCATAAAAAAGCTATAGTACATCCAAGTTAGGGAAAAAGTATACCAAAAATTTTGCACTGACCAGTCGGCAACTTCATAACGAACATTTTGATGCATAATATGTGGGATTTCAATTTGGTGTCTATCAGCAATAAGACTCTGAATATCCGGCTCAAGAAACCTCTTGCTCCGCGTCAGTTTCCGAGTTCTGGGATACCCCATCTTCGGGGGCTGATTACAGTTATTTTTGGTCACTCGGATTAGTTTTTTTGGCCTAAGTATAATAATTTGATCAATTTCAAATTGATCTATATAAAAAATAATCCGAAACTCCGGTATCGCCCGTGGCCTCTCGTGAGGGCGTTTCCGACCAGTGTGCAGTGGCAGCACTGGCAGCACTGGCACTGGCAGGCAGTGCTGACCAGTGCTGAGGGCAGGCAACACTGGCAGCAGCCAGTGCTGAGACATGGGAGCCCGATGGGTAGGGAGTGGTGGAACATCAATCTGCCCCCGAGTGTACCTACATTAATCACATTACATATCATGCACTCGTGTCATAACCCGCGCGGGGCTGGGGTCTCCAGCCGAACGCGCGGGGCTGGGGGGGGGTAAATTTTACCCCCCCTGTTATCTCCCGAACTAACGGTCCGATTTGGAAAATTCAAACGCCAATCGAAAGCTCTCATCACGAACTACTAAAAACATGTACTTGATTTCAAGTTTAAGGTCAAGGTCAAGGTCAGGTCAAGGGTACAAATTGCAGGTTTCTACAGTATCGGCCTTGCACCGTAGTTGCCGAAGAATGGAGTCATGGACTGAGACTGATCGCCCAAAACGTGTTCTTAGGCTACCAAGACAATATTCGTTGCATACAATATCATTCAGAGGTCAAGGTCAAGATCAGGTCAGGTCAGGTCAGGTCACCAAAAAACAAAATATAGAAAAGGGCATGTGCGACACATGTTTTATGGGTCATTTTACTCATAGAATTCAATAGGCACACTCAATAAGTGATATGGACCACCTCTGGATGAATTTCAGGTCGAGGTTAAGTCAAGGTCAGGTCAAGTGAGGTCAAATTTTGAAGTTGGTTGTTAAGGCCTAAAAAGGTGTCTATCTGATGCAGTTTTTCACGGCGAATCGAATGGTGCTATTTTTGTTTCCGTACGAGGTCTAGAACTTCCAAAAAAGTCATTTTTCAAAAATTTTGTGTGTTGTGACGTCATAAAATTTTGAATAACTCCCACATTTTTGAACCGATTCTTCTAAAATTTGGTATGAAGGTGCACATAGACCACTTCTCTGACATATATTCCGGTTTTTTCGATAGACTCAAAATTTTGGATTTTATAATGATTCTCCCAAAAAAGTCAGTTTTTTGAAAAAAATTAGGCCAAAATCCAAAATTTTCAAAAAACCGAGATAGCCATTTGATAGACAAAGTAACATTACGTATAACCTTTTTTGTTACGTCTTGATTCCTTTAAAAATGAAGATGTTAGCGGCGTTTGAACTTTTGCCGTTTTTGAGGCGAAAATGACGAACATGACGTCACTAAAACGTCAATTTCTCAAAAATTTTCCGACGGATTTCGCTCAAATTTTCAGGGAACGTGTCAAATTGATGTAAGAAAAGGTACTGAAAGTTTGGCGGCGCTGCGCGCCGCCGTTTTTGAGATATCGCAAAAATTCGCGAGGGGGGGGTAAAATTTACCCCCCCCCAGCCCCGCGCGGGATAATTAACTGTCAGGTTAGTCCTAAGGCACGGTGGGATAGCTAACTCTTAAAAACTGTTCCTGCCTAAATGCCTTCGCTCCACTTATGTACGGGTAAGTACATTGTAGTCATGAACAAGGCATCAGAACTCCAACGAATTGTTTACCTTTCGTAGAAAAGGCCGTTGAACCAAGAAAGTACCTTAACCAAGAAAATGTTCTAACATCTCATAGTCAAGCGACGTTATGCATATTTTAAAATTCATTCCCACTTGGTACCTATCTTTATTTTCTTCTCATGTTGCACCTTTTCCCCAAAGCACACGTAATAAGCGAGCCGGTTAACATAACCATAACAATTAACAAAGTATCTCGCGACCACATATCATTCCCATCTCCACGCCCCGAAGTAACCAGTCCGGTCGTCCATTGACCCATCTACCGTCCCTCCGTGAGGTCACGGTGAGGTCACGGTCCCCGGCCGACCACCGCTCTCGGTCCGCGCCACTGTGGGGCCGGCGTGGTGGGGGGCGGCGGTGGCCGGGTGGTCGGGGGCCTCTGGGCCGCCTTGGCCCGCTCCACCCGGCACTGGTGTCTCCTGCGGTTGGCCGCCTCCGCCACGGCCACCAGGTCCGAGCTGAGCACGTCACACGTGGTGACGATATTGGCGCGCTCCCACCAGCGGTGACGCAGGCGCGCCGTCAGCTCGCGCGCCGCCTCGTCTCGCTCGGCGGCGGTGGCAGCCGGCTCCAGGCACACGTCGATGGTCCAGTTGTAGTTGTACGGAGAGCGCGACATCAGCTCGTCGACAAAGTGCATCAGCTGGGAGGAGTTGCCTGTCGGATGGCGCGCCACCGGTGTGGGCGGCCAGAGGAACGGGGAGCCTCGCCGGCGCGCGCGGTTGTTGTACGTCACCACCAGCCGGCGGCCGGTGTTCCAGAGGTCGTTCAGCACCAGCTCGTCGCCCAGAGTGACGGGCGCCATCCAGTCGCCGAGCCGGCGCTCCAGGATGTCCACCAGCACCGCGTGCCTCTCCGGGCGGCCCTCGAAGCCGCGCAGGGTCGCCAGGTCGAGCACCACGATCTCGTTGGAGCGGCGCAGGAAGCGGCGCAGCTGTGTGAGCACCGCTCGCAGCGGCGTGACCCCTCGCCCGCCGCGCACGCCTCCCCAGAAGGCGATCGGTGGTGGCGGCACCCCGGGCGGTATCACCAGTCCCGGCGGCGGCAGGTAGGCCACGTGCAGGTCCAGGAAGCGCACGCCCATCATCAGCTGCGTCCACACGTCGATGGCCCGGTTACCGGCGTCGCGGGAGCCGACGAGGAAGACCTCTCGAAGCCGGCGGTCGCCGATCAGGTCCTTGCTGGTCACCATCCAGCTGGGGTTGCTGCGCAGGCAGCTGGAGGCGTTCACCCGGCCGTCGCGCATGTAGGCCACCCAGCGCCCCAGGCAGTTGTCGTTGACGTAAACCTCCTTCAGCGGCGGCAGGCTGAAGGTGAGTTCCGTCTGGTGATGCCCGCGGGCAGTCTTGGGCGTGACCCGCGCCAGGGGCGTCGTCAGGTTGCGGACTGGGTCGGCGTCGAACACCCCCACCCAGTCGGTGGGGGCGAGCGCGCGCGCCTCCCAGTGCGCCACCAGCGTGCGTGCCGCATGCGAGAGCGTGAGGAAAGCGTGCGTGTGCGGCTGGTGCTCGGGACACTCTGCAACAGAGCGGACGGCCGTCACCGGCGGCTCCGGGGTGCGGGTGCAGTCATCGGGCCCGCCGCCGACCTACCAGCGGCGTTGACACCGCCCGTGAGCGCTGTACACCCCCGCGCGACCCATTATGTACACAGGGGAGGTTTTGCGAACCGGAGGCGCGCCTTTGTCACAGCTCGCAGACTGTAAAAACGGACCGGGGCTGGGACGGAAAGTGGCGCGCGGCCGCTGACTGGCGGTGCTGGGCGTCACCGAACCGCCGAGCGGAACGCCATGCGTCATGGCATGCTAGCTGACATACGTGTGTCATGACGTGTATGTCGGCGCCACGCGCTGACATTGTCCGGTCGTTGCCATCGCTGATGTGATGTGGCAGTGTGCAATGTGCACTCAGCACTTATATAATGCGCTGGGACATTGAGCTGACGGGATTTACATTACATGCTGTAGAATTAGATGCAGCTGTTTGTATGCTGGTAGGGCATTTTTTTTTTTTTTGGGTCAAAACACGCGTAGCGCTTTATTCAAAGGGCAAGCAAAGAAAAAAAGACTGAATGAAAAATGTCGCGAAGCGTAGTTCACGCAATAACCCCTAAATCAGAATCTGAAATTCAGAGCTGGGAATCCAAACACCGCCGGAATGACTGGCGGTCTCGATCGCATTACAAATGAGGTCTGAGTAAGCGGTTTCTGATCCGTAAGCCGCCGGTCGGTGATGGATCGAGTTCGTTTCTACGCGAGCCGAACTAGAGCACGTGCTGACCCGCGCAGAGCCGGGGTCCGATACAGTCGCTCGACCGCACGGTGATCGCCGAGCGGTCGTTTGTTACGCTCCTTGTAACCTTTCTAGATTTTCGCCTCAACACCGGCAGGGATCGCGCTTCAACGCGGTGGTGGCGTCAGCCGCTGCTTCCTAATTCAAGTCAGGACAAGATCACATTAGCGGAACACATTAGCGAGTGCGACCGGCGCGGCGGCGGCCGGGTCATTGGGCCAAAGGGGTCACGGAGGGGCGGAGAGGTCACGGGGGTCAGCGGGTTAGTGAGGAGCGCGCGGCGGTGCCGTCGGGCCAGGTGCAGACATGCGGCGCGCGGTGCAGCGGTGCGGCTCGCATACAATGGACAAAGCGTGACGTCGTGTTTGTTTCTTACCGTTCTGTCATCGCCGGTCGGTACTACGGAAGAGGAAATGAGACCAAACTCGCTTGTGGTTACGATACATCCAAGTGATTGCGACACAGAGATCCAGTCCTGGCATCTACACACAATGGGCGGGGGTAGATAATTGCCGGAGTGGCCGGGTCGGAGCGCACGCGAAGGTCGAGGACACCGGGCGCGCGACCCTGCCGCTCGGCACGCGTCACGTGGCACGCGTTACGGTTGCCCGCCGCCGTGTGACGGGTCACTTACCGAAGCGGGGTGTCGGTAGGGCTCCGTGACTCCTGGAGGCTCCGGGTCGGGGCGGTCCGGCGGCGCGTGCCGCCTCTCCAGCGCCCAACAGCGCCGCCAGCAGCAGCACCCACGGGCCTGTCGGCGAGGAGGCCATCCTCTCAGAGCAGCGTCACACACCGTCACAGACCGTCACAGAGTTTGCCGCCGCCGGCCGGCCGCGTGCAGCGCGTCTGTGGACCGTGCGCGGGGCGCCGCGGACCTCCTCAGACGCCGCGGACCGGACCGGCGCGGACCGGCGGCGGACCGGTGGCGAGCACCTCTGCCGCAGTCGCGCCGCTTCGGCGGAGCCAGGAAAATGGCCGCAGAGCTGGCGCGGCCATGTTGCTGGAGCGCGGCGCCGCCGGCCGCTGGGGTCGCCGCTGGGTTGTCCGCTACGCCGGCGGGCTCACCGCTGATGGGGGGTTTCCTTGTTATCGCGGGGTGACGAGGTCGCCGGGGCCGCTGTGACGGCGCGGCAGACTCCCAGAGCGGCGGAACACCGGGCGGAAATTACCGCTCCGCCGCGAACCCCGATCGCCACACTCGGCCCAGCGCGGCGCTCGGGTTTTTGGTGCAGGGCGGTGTCGCTTTGAGTGCTGTCCTGACGCCTGTACTTGGGCGAGGTAGCCCCGACATAAGAGTGGGCTAGGGGTGGGGAGGGGCTGCAGGTTCGACGTGAACGACGTAGAACGGTGGCGTGTATTAGGTCGGAATGTTTCCCCTGTCCCAGCGCGCTGACACAAGACACCAGCAGCTGAAATTGACGCTCGAACATTCTGACAGACGACGTTTTAGCTGCCTGGAGGCTGAAGTTGTAGCACATTTTGCAGCTTTGTAGGCTATGTCCAAGTCCATTAAGTTCCCACGAGTGGCCGACAAGTTTCTGGATACCGTATCGACAGACAGTTTTGGCGGATTGGTGCGACATAAATCGGCGTGTTGCGGGAGATTTGAGCTGATATATCATCCTTGTAGACGGTAAATGCCTGAAGTTCCTTATTCAAGGCGCCAGGAGTGAAATTTAACAGTCATGAAACGGAGTTTTGTCAAACGATGCACCGGGCCATATATGGCTGGTCGCAGCCTTATCAGGTAACGTTACGTTTGCAATGTAGGTGTGATTGCGTGGTTGCCATTGGAGGTAAAGTTTGTTGTTTCTATCCGTTATCCATTGACCTACTATCTGTTTGAATAGAAGCTTTGCTTAGTTTTGGTGACTAACTGGTGAGTAGTTCTGAAGCACAGCAGTGTAGGCTGTCACAACGCCTGATCGATCTACTGAATGGTGAATGTTCCTCTTCCCTCTTGGAAGCTCTTGAATGAGTCAGCCATGTTTCTCCTAAGTTGCTTACTTCCATTACAACCTTACATCACCTACATTTTCCCGACATCCTAAGCTCTCAGAAAGTACTTCTTGTGCTGCAACTCACGCCGGTTGTTTTGGCATCAGCAAGTGTACTTGCAACGCCTGATATCAGCTGTCGTTTGACGCTACAACTCATTGTCGTTTGTCAGTTCAGTGTGTACTTACACCCTTCGCTGTTTTCCTGGTTTGCACAGGAACTGATGACAGTTGCGTAAAACACTGTCCAACTTTGAACCGTGTGCCGCACAGGGAATGCAAGAACATTCTAAAGATGATATCACTCAGCGTTACGTTACGTAAGCTTTGACAATAAGCAGGTATTTAAAAGTGTACCGAAACATTTTACAATAGACAGGCATTTATAACTTTACCGAAGCATCCAGCGCTACCGCTAACCGCAGAGCGTTAGTGAAATAAAGCATTGAGGAAATTGCTAAGGCAAAGCGTGCAATGGCTGAATGAAGAAGTTGCAACGGACCAATTCCAATGAGCTCATCGGGAAAGATGGCCGATAGGTAGCTGGCCGTATTTCACCCTACTCAAATGAATAGATACGCTTTTGCTTTTATTACCAAACGAAATGCCTGATACCAGTATAACGCCTTTTGCGGCGACTAACGGAGCGAGCGAGAGGGTGGGCCTTGCACGTGCGAAATTGCGAGGGGGTACCTCCAACTGACTTGTGCACGGCACCTTACTAATCGGTCTCTAGCGATGTGCCAAATTTGAGCACAATCGGCCCAGCCGTTCTCGAGATCTGGAAGCGGCACCCTGCACGTGCGCACGTGCAAAATGGGTCCCAACTGACTTGTGCACGGCACCCTACTAACTGCTCCGTAACCGTGTACCAAATTTGAGCGCAATCGGTCCAGCCGTTCTCGAGATCTGGAAACGACCCCTGCACGTGCGCACGTGCAGCAGCACCCCAACTCTGGCACATGGATATGCATTGCCTAGTGGGTGCCTACCTACATGCCAACTCTCAGCGCAATCGGCCCAGTAGTTACCGAGATATTGCAACAATTACAAAAGTGACACCTCTTCGTTTTGCACGTGGCACGTGCATAAGGGGTCACCCACATGCATCGGGAATAGTGCAATACTTGGTAGAAGGAATGAAGCTACCCTACAAAAATTACCGCATGTAAATCGGTCAAGTGGTTGCTGAGATATAAGCCTCGCAAAAGCGTGACCACGGCCGGCCGGCCGGCCGGCCGGCCGGCCGCTCATACTCAGAAATTTCCGTTAATCTAAGGAAAGACTACGCTCGCTTCGTTCGCTCCGTAATAATTGCATGAAATGCATTATGTACGGTGCACCTATGCGAATTTCTCACCGCATTCAGTCCCCATCACGTCATTCATCAATCCATTCCACAGTACTCCCAGTAATTTTGCAAAGCTGTACAAAGCACACGCCTTCCCGCTTGAGCATGTCGTTAAAGCCGTGCTGTTATATTATCCGTGCTGTCATAGCTGTACTCCCTCAGCCGTACTGCCATAGCCGTACCGCCCTATCCGCCTGTCGGGCCGCGAGTGACCCAGTGCGGCGCGGTGGCCGGCGGACGTCATGTCTGACCGACGGACTGACCCGCCTGACACCGGCCACCGCCAGGACGGGCCAATGTGTCCGATTTGTCTGAGCAGGCCACGTTTACGAGCCACACGACCGCCGAAACCAGTTCCGACGGGGATAAAACCGCGCCGAGTGCCAGACAAAGCGGCCGTCTTAATATTTGTTCATCCGCTTTCACCGTGTAAGTGGCGGCCATTCGGACGGCTATTCTGTGGACTCCTGTCTTACACTGAACGTTACGGCCTGAATGGAGCCACACTCGGCGGGTGAAAATAGCGTTTGATGTTAATAGCACCGAAATCAGAGCTAAAATTTGTGAGAAAGCTCGAAGGCTAGGTATCAAAGATGACATTTTATTATGATACGCATCTCGCACTGGTGATTGCACATGGGGCAGGAGGAAGAGAAAATGGCTCCCCTTCAATGTGTCCCCTTCTCTGTTTGGCAGTAGCTTGAATAACACCGAGGGCCTGAATGGAAAGAAGTCTGAAGTTTTGGCACCCAGCTCTTTCATTCCCGTTAAATTATTCGGCGGCATTACGTTTTTTGTAAAGGAACACTAAAATATATTTAACCCTCGCCCTGGCAGGGCATTTTTCATAACACGGCCTGGCAGGGGGGGGGGTCGATGCGACCCCCCCCCCTCGCGATTGGCTCCTATGGCACCTAGAAACACCAAATTTGGTAGGTAGGTGGGCCCCCCGGAGTTCTCGCCCCTGTGCAAATTTGGTTGCTCTAGGTCAATATTTAGGGGGGTTTTGGGGGGTATAAATGTAAAAATTTCGCTAAAAACAGGTCAAAAGTTTTTCGCCTATAACTTTTGATCTAATTAAGATAGAGCAAAAAGAAAAGCACCAGTGAGCTCAGCACGTCAAGGCGCGTCGAATGATATACTTTTTAGCTTGCTTAAGTGTACTTAAAGTTTTTCTTAAATTTTAAGTAAACTTAAATTAATAAATTAAGTTCAAATTAACCAAATTGCATCATAACGCATATCATTTGATTCGGCTGATCACGAGGAACACAATGATACCATTTTTTAAGCTCTAGCGTCATTATGTGCCAAGTTATTGGCAAAAACGTCATTTGACCTCAGTTGACCTCATTTGACCTGACCCATGGATAAGTACACCAAACAAAGAAGCACCAAGTGTCCTGCTGTTAAGTACCGTGGTTTCAAAGCACAAAAGTGATAAAACGAAGCGGATATCTCCAGTAATTTCCGAATTTAGTATTTTCCCATAGGCTTAGCATTACGACGTAATGACCTCTAACTGACCTCAGGTCAGTGACCTAAAAAAACCGGACTATATGTTATACACCTCGGTGAACTTAGCACATCCTGAAAGTTTGAAGGAATTCAGTCGAAAACTGTGAGTTGGACAGGTGCATAAAGAAAATTGAAATTTGACCATGACCTTGTACCGGTTTTTCTGACCTGGTGACCTGACCCAAGGTCACCAGGACCTGAAATTTTCAGGTCATATGTAAAAAGGCTGCCCCATAGGCTGTGCCAAATTTGGCGGCGCTGCGCGCCGCCGTTTTTACGCTATCTTCGAAAAACCTTAGGGGGGGGTCGCATCGACCCCCCCCTGCCAGGGCGAGGGTTAATTAAGCTGTGTACGTACCTGCTTAAAATGTATGACAACCATGGACGATTTGGTTGGTTTGCGTTTTTGTCATGTAAATTGCGAAAACGTCACAACAGCGATCACTGCCCGATCACCGATTCGACGGCATTTTGACACTCTTATTCTATATTTATTTTAGGCAGTTTTTACATGTTATAGACTTAATTCAACTCTAATAGCTTGGATCGGTGCCAGCGTTTGTAACAGCTAATGCATTTTCCGTCTCGTATTTTTCTCCCTTTGCCGCAGCTTTTCAATTTTTACGTTGTATTGATTTTATTTCAGCGCCCTCTGCACTCGTATGGCTGCCATCATAAGTCGAAGGTTATGCACTGGAAAATATTGCAGCTGAAGGAAATTGGAGTTGGCGAGCCGGATACAGCTTGCAAAAGCATCAACAGCTCGCTCACTTGCCAATATTTCGGTTGGAACGGGTTCGACCGTCTACAGATGGTGTGAAAAATTCATAAATTCACCATCCTGCAATCAATTTGAATATATTTTCATTTGCATCCGATATGGTTGCGCTCTATTACGTAAATGTAGTCTAAACGAATGGGACGGTCTGGAACACCAAAAGAAATAAAACCAAATTATCTCAGTAAATCTCACGAAGAAAAAGCCAGATGCGGCTTGTCCGATATATGTCAATAACAACTGGATCCGGCGTGGGATCCGTCAGCGGGACAGACCTGAGCTGTTTTGGAAAGATTTAAGGGCACAAAAACGACAGTGATCAACTGATCAATTACAAATTACGTAAGGCTCCGGGCAATGTCATTCTATGGACGGGACGCAGACGTTTTTGAAGGACTTCATTGTCTTCCTCGATTAGCAGATGTCATCCAGCATGCATAGAACATATACCGCTAAAGTTAACATAGCATGATGGGAAATTAAATGGATTGATTTCCACTTAGCACGATTAGTTCAATGAGATACTCATGGAAGTTATCGCGCTCTCACTAACGATATTGTCAAGGAAATTAGCTCATTTTGATATCAGCATGGTTCAATCTATTCTGTTGCATTGTTACCAATCATACCAAATATAGTTCGGTCATGATCGTTCTAGTTTTTTGGATGAGTTATGTAAAATCTTCTTAAAACTTCTCACGAAACAATTAGGAAGTTAACCCGGCAGTTGCTGGGGTATTTCGCCACCCACCGTTTGCTGGGGGGGGGGGGGGCGTTAAACGCCCCCAGTCGATAACTCGAGAACCAATAGGCGCAGCGAAACGCACGAGGCGGCAAACGAAAGAACGCGACGAGACGCTTCAGATGAGTACTTTGAAGTTGGATTTTGAGGTCACAGGTCGGGTCAAGGTCAGGTCAAACACCTGAAATTGGGCTTTCAGTAGCATGGACTTCAGGACTTCGCAATGGGCGCCTCTCGTCAAAAACTCTGTCAGAACGGTGCACAATCCATCATATAAGGCCTACAAGAGTGTCAGCTCCATGTAGGGGTCAGTCAAGCATAGGTCAGGGTCAAGGTCAGGTCAACCGGGTAGGCACATATCCCCGAAAATCAAAACTGATATCCGCATCCTGTGACACATGTTTTATGGGTAATTTGGGGCGTAGAACACGATGGTGACATTCATTTTACCATATGTGTACGTGTTTAGCTCAAAAAGTTCAATTTAAGAAATGCATGTATCATGGTCGTGAAGTAGTCACGAGAAATTGCCAAGATTCAGTTCAAGATTTTGGAGAATGTGGAGCGATAATCAATAATCGAAGATAGCCATTTGATTGGTCATGGTATTGGCATTCTAATGGCGTTTACAGCATGTCTGTATGTCTATTCTGTGATTTTATTTGATTTTTTGAACATATGCCGTTTTTGGTCGAAAACTCAGAAATCATGACGTCACTAAAACCTCGATATCTCAAAAATTTTCGGACCGATTTTTTTTTGAAACTTTGTCACCATACACTTCAATCAATTCCCTACAGGTACCCAAAATTTGGCGCGCCTGCGGCGCGCCGTTTTTATGCTATGGCCCGGCGAAAAAAGTGGGGGCGTTTAACGACCCCCCCAGCAACTCGCGGGTTAATGGACCAGTTAAAACATGTTAACCACTTATGTTAGATTGTTACAAGGGGAACCGTTTCAAACCAAGTGATCTATTTTATGGCTAAGACACCCGACTAGAGTCGACGAGTCTCTCACAAGGTCTATTATCAGCCTGATCTCGAGCAGTGTCCCAGCTAACCATACACGATTTCCGGATGAAAGCAGACTCAGCTAGCCCTCGCGTAAAAGCGCATTACGCTACATGAAGACGCAATTTGGCTCTAGACAGCTCGACCTAGACACTGTCTGTGCGAGCTATGTACATACATACGTACACCCACCTTGTGTGAATGCCAGCATGGTCAGCGCTGGCGGCGAACGTCGGCACGGAGCTGCGGCGAGCCTGGCGCGGAGCTGCGGCGAGCCTGGCGCCGCGCTGTCTGCGGCCGCGACACTGGCGGCGCGGCGGCGGCACGCGGCGCGGCAGGCCTCCAGGACGGGTGGCGGCCGGACGGGTGGGATTGGGGGCCGCCTTCGTGTCAACTGAGCGGACGGGAAGCCCGCTCTGCGAGACAGAGGGGGAGAGGGAGGGAGGGAGGGAGAGAGGGAGGGAGGGAGGGAGAGAGGGAGGGAGGGAGGGCAGAGCAGGGAGAGGTGGGAGATGCTGAGAACAGAGTGGAGAGGGAGTTAGGAGACTAGATGGCTAATCTACATGCGAAAAAAATGTTGTTGACAAGATGAGGAGAGCTGAGCGAGATTGAGGAGGTTTTGGTATATTGAAATTAGTCATAAGCAAAGAGTGATATTTTAATTGTCATTAGACATTACTTGTGATAAGGGCTACCTATAAGACGGGCAAACGGTGAGCGCCAGGCCAGACTCTCTGGCAGGAAACAAGAGGGAAGGAGGAGAGAAGTAGGCGTTTCATAACCGCTATCTATCGCCTCTCGGGATAATGGGATCAGGAATAACAATTTATCGCCGATAGCTTGGCTGGATTTTCCCGATTTAATAATTGGCCAGGGCGGATCGTAATCTCTGCTCCATTTCCGTGAACACATCAGCGCGGACAGTGGGCGGGTCAGCGGCGCTGGAAGGGGTGGGAACGCGTGATACACTACCGGGAAACTACGTGCGTCGCACCCACATCAGGAGGCATATCTAGTCGCTAGGTAGGTGTGTGGTATTAAAGAGATGAATTAAATCCGTGATATCATAATGCACTAAATAGTTGCTTATTGCAAACTTCGGTTAAACGGTACGGTTGATCGTGAACAGGAACTTTCAGTTATTAGCGAATCAGAGTGAAGGCAGTGGATGCTTACAGTACTTAGGTGCCAGTTTGCTGAGGATCTCGGGTATATACCTATACCGGCTATACCTTGGATCTGCATAAACTTCAAAAAGCCATCAGCACGGCTTCGCGGTAATTGCATCAATGCCTGCGCTTTGATCATTCGATGGCTGGCGGAATCGCAAGCTATTTGCTTTGAACTATAAGTAGAGCGGTTTCTTGGAGAGCTTGTTCCCAAAAGCATTGATTTGTCGATGTTGAGCTCCGTCGAGTGTGCTCCAATTTCTGGTCACAGTGACATTGGATCGTGACCAATAGCGTGGCTGGAATGTCGCATTTGATCTCATTAGCTGGCGCCGTAATTTAGGTAAGGTTTACATGAACGATGCATTCATTATAATGAGCGGATGAGGTACAATTGAATCACTAACTTTAACGATCAACTGATGTTATTTTCCTGCTAAGACTAAGCTAAATATCACTATCAGTGCTGAAACTTCATATTCACTGAATGCAACTTATGTACTCTTCCGATGTTTCCATATCATCGCATACTGGCCAGACATTCCACCATCAACAAAACACCCACTGACAAATATTGATTACTGATATTTCAGCCCGGCAACCGACCAACCCATGGCTGTTCCGTCTATCTTCCACCCCACAGTGTTGACTGTTGGACACTCTTCAAATGGAGACCAGCAACGGACAGGCAGACAACGAAGCGCCCCTCCGCTCTCACTCACATGCCCCGACTAATATCTCTCATTTGCGGCGGCAGCAGTCGGACGGAGAACGGTCCAGCCAGACGGCCGCTGTCTGGTGCACTCCACTGCGACCACGGAGGCGGCGTCTGCAGAGGTCTAATTAGACCGACTAGACAGCCGAGTTAGCCCAACTGCTCATATTAGTGGGACGCCGGACGGACCTCAGAGTCAGAAGCATGAGCACTTGTGGGGCGTAGCTTTGCAATGGTTTCAATTGTTAAGACTACAACACAATTTCAAACAATGATAAGATGTGTTCATGAGACCAAAAGTCGGTGATGAGTTCGGTGGACGATTTCGCCTGGGTCCAGCTCGAGTACGAAAGAAAAATATGCCACGTGTGACACCAGTCTCACTGTGGGACTGTCTCTTCGTTGATCTCCTGAACTGCGTCCCCGGGGAATGTAACGGACCGTATTGTATGTACGCTCCCAGGGGTCAGATGTCCTCTGTTAAATGCCCCGCGGCGCTGCGGTCAAGGTCGAGAGGTAAAGGTCGCTCGCGGGGTCTGGAGACGGTTAGAGCCGGCGTCTGAGAATTACGTCGCTCCGCTAGACTCGTGCCATGGCAGCCAGGAGCTCAAGATGCTGATGTAAGCTCTAGGTCTAAGCTCAAGATGCTGATTGCTGATGTAACTTTCTGTTCGTAATCAATGTCATTGCCGTATTACCTAAGTACAAAAAAAATTATTGGTCTCAGACAGCTTCAATGACATGCCTAACGTGGAAGCCCGTTGGATTCAGCTTGCATGTTCAACGAATTTATTGCCCCCTAAAATATTCTAACACACGCTGTGTGCTCGATCATTTCCACTTTATCGGGGATGTGCTTTCATAAGCAGAACTACCCCATAGAAGCGTTAACCCGCGCGGGAAAACACCCCCCACGGTTTTTCGCAGATATCTCAAAAACGGCGGCGCAAATGCACCTGTGACCCCTCTGTGTGCCCCTGAGGTCATCTCAGGTCATGAACGATCACCAGCAGTTTTTTGGCTATAACTTTTGATTAAGTCGTGCTAGAGCGATGAAAACACGTCAGATGTATTCAGCTCGACGATACGGATCGACTGATATGCAACATGGCCCTTTCCGGTTAGGTCATGACCTTGACCTGAGGTCAAATTTTCAAAATGACATTTCAAGGTCACCAAATATTTCATTCGACGCGTCTCGACGATAGGAACACGATGCTGCCAAAAGTAATGTCGTGGCTCTCTTGAGTCAAAAGTTATTGACGAAAAACCATTTTCGTGAAAACTGCTATTTTTTACAGTTTTTGCCCTCTGGAGGCTAAACCGTTGATCTGAGGTCAGATCTGGGAACAATAATCAGAAAGGTCTGTGAAAGGGCTATCGAATGCGCCTTTCCGCGGCGCTGTAGCTCTATTGGTTCCCGAGTTAGCCGTTGGCAGTTTCTAAAAATGTCGAAATGGGCTACATTTGACCTTTGATGACCTCTGGCGACCTGACCTTTGACCTGACCCAAAAAATGACCCGAAGTGTTTCCGTCATGATGTTTGACGCTCTTTCGAGTGCCGCTTACTGCGTGTCGCTACGTTGCCCAGGAGCCGAGTTAGACGGGGGGGGGGGTTGTTCAGACACCCCCCCCCCGGCCCGGCGCGGGTTAAGTGTCTCAAAGTGTCGGTCTTTGGCATATGGGACCACACTAAGTAGCTTAGGTACTAGTGTTCAGATCCACATCAAAATAGCTTACATAACAAGGGTCTCCGTTACGACGTGCTCGGCAGCTGAATGGCCGCACAAGCGGTAACGATAAGAGCCCAGATCACCACCGGCGCGGCGGTAAGACCTCTCAGTCGGCAGTGAACGACCTGAACAGCAGGCCGTGCTCCGAGCTGGGGCGGATCGGGGGGCCTGACACACTCCGGTCAGGGCTGAAGCCGATTACAGCTCGCCGACACGGCTGGCCGGCCGGTCAGCGTCTCATGAGTACCTGAAAATGGGCGACTGGAGGCGGCCACCTAAGCCACTTAACCGAGGAAGCCGTGGTCTTAGCTCGAGAGGATCAGCGGGAGGACTCGGTGTTCACGTGTCAGACAAGCTAGTTCTGCTATCCGCAGAGCAGGCTGGAAGTGGTGGTTTCCACCTTATGTTCCGTATTCCGCGTTACACTTCGGTTGGCTTGTTGGGTTTCGGTGGGTTTTGGTCATGTCAAAGGTCAGGTCACCAGAGGTCAAATTTCAGAAGGCCAAATTTCGCCGATTTTCAGGTCGAATGTCAACAATTTTGAACAAGTCGACGCATAACTCGGAAACTGATAGAGCTACAGCGCCGCAGAAAACCGCATTTGATACCTAGCCCTATTAACTTTCTTTCTGAATACTTGTCTCAGATTTGACCTAACGTCAACGGTTTTGCCTGCAGGGACAAAAACTGCCAAAATAGGCGATTTTTAAGGAAACAGTTCTTCTACAATAACTTTGGACTCAAACCTTGTATGAGCTTACTTTTACTAGAATTGTGTTCCTTCCATCAAGACGCATTGAATGAACTATAAGTTAATCTTGAAAGGTCAACTTGAAAATTTGACCTCAGGTCAAGGTCAAACCTGACCGGAAAGGGTCATGCAGCATATCAGTCGATCCGTATTAGTGATGTCAATTACGGAAAATGGGAATACCGATACCAAACCAAATACCAACCAAAACCACGGGAAAATACCGAAACCAAACCAGCTTAGGAAAATGAGGGAAATACCAACTTTTTACCGATTTCTTAGCCTATTATACATTAGTGAGGGTTTATGATACCAGTATAACGCCTTTTGGGGCGACTAACGGAGCGAGCGAGAGGGTGGGCCTTGCACGTGCGAAATTGCGAGGGGGTACCTCCAACTGACTTCTGCACGGCACCCTACTAACTGGTCTCTAGCGATGTGCCAAATTTGGGCACAATCGGCCCAGCCGTTCTCGAGATCTGGAAGCGGCACCCTGCACGTGCGCACGTGCAAAATGGGTCCCAACTGACTTGTGCACGGCACCCTACTAACTGGTCCCTAACCGTGTACCAAATTTGAGCGCAATCGGTCCAGCCGTTCTCGAGATCTGGAAACGACCCCTGCACGTGCGCACGTGCAGCAGCACCCCAACTCTGGCACATGTATATGCAGTGCCTAGTGGGTGCCTACCTACATGCCAACTTTCAGCGCAATCGGCCAAGTAGTTACCGAGATATTGCAACAATTACAAAAGTGACACCTCTTCGTTTTGCACGTGGCACGTGCATAAGGGGTCACCCACATGCATCGGGAATAGTCCAATACTTGGTAGAAGGAATGAAGCTACCCTACAAAAATTACCGCGTGTAAATTGGTCAAGTGGTTGCTGAGATATAAGCCTCGCAAAAGCGTGACCACGGCCGGCCGGCCGGCCGGCCGGCCGGCCGCTCATACTCAGAAATTTCCGTTAA